TTTACTTCTCACACATGCATTTTCAGTTCACACCCCCCTGGCCCATTTCTTTGTATATTTGTCATTTTTGCATTTTTATTTCATTTCTGATTTTGATATTTTATTTTCTAATATAAAAAAAAATACTAAAAAATATTTTCATAAATTTTTATATTTATTTGGTATTTATTTTAATTATTTCTTGTATTAATACATTAAATACTTTATATTTATTTTTGTTTAAATGTAAAAATAATGTAAAAAATACTTTTATTTTTATTTTATTATTTTTATACATATTTGAAAATATTTTCTTGAAATGTATACATTTTGTAAATAATAATTTATTTTTATACACACTTAATATATTATATACATATATAATATATTTTATTAAATAATAAGAACCAAAAAACACAAGAATAATACATTTTTATTTTTATTAATATTTTATACTAAAAAAACCTTTTTTCAATATACTTTTATTTTTTTGTACATATTAATATATTTTGTACATAAATAATACAATTTTTATTTTCTTTAAAGAGAATTAGGGCAAACCCTAAAAACAAATAAAATTAGCTTTTTATTTATTTATTTACATTTCCTTACATAAAAATTACTTTTTGCATACATGAACAAATAAAAACTTTTTTTTTGCATAATACATTTTATTTAATATTTATTTATTGTATTTATTTAAATATTGTACATTTAAATATTATGCCTTGCAAATTCAATTTGGATGTAATAGTAATTAGGGTTTTATATTTCTTGCAAAATAATCCCCAATTCAAATTTGTACCCCTCCCTATATCATGTTGTAATAGTGTAGAATTTAAATTCTCGCACCTTTAAATGTTTTCAATTATGCCATGATTAGACCTAGGGTTTGTATGCAAAATAAAATCAACAATTAGCTTGACCTAACCAAAAGACAACAATGCATGAAAACAAACACAATGCACACTTGCACTCCTAGGGTTTCAATCCACTTGTTGCCTTCAAAAATAGGCCATGATATGCATGTCAAGTACTTTGGCAAAACAAAAAAACAAAACAAAAGATCATAGTCCCTCGATGACGCTATCTGAGTTGCCTAAACAAAATGATCAAGTCCCTCAAGAAAATTGCCAAAAATACTTGACACAATTGCTATCATTGTCTATACGATGACCCGCGCCTGTCCCGTTTAACATCCTAACACAAGGTTGTTCACCAAATACAATGGTGAAACAACACTGTTAAAAGGGTTAAAAACATAAGAAACATCTTTGAGTAAAATAGGGTAGATAACTCTTAGTTACTTGATCAAAGCTTGCAAAAACATCCTTGCTATCTTCAAAAACACACTCCACAACACAATTTCAAAACCCTACTTTCAAACATTGAAAACTTTTCAAAAGACAAAAACACCTTTGTATAAATTCAAACAAGAATCATTACAAAGGATGCCACAACGATGGTCTCTTTTCAAAACATATTTTAAAACCACACACAAAGCACTATTTTAAACAATTGAAAAGCAAAGCAAGTGATCTAAGCAAATAACTAAGAGCCTATGGATAACCATGGATAGAAAGGGTGCTAATACCTTCCCTTTCTATAATCTACTCCCTGAACCCAAGAAAACATCTCAAAGGTCTTTCCTGTGCTTTTTGACCTTTCCTTAGGATAAAATAAAAAGTCGGTGGCGACTCTTGCTAAACCGAAACATTTGCGAACACAAACGCAAAATCCCAAGTCAGTTCTCCCACCGTATCACACTGCACATCTCATTCAAAAATTCTAAAGTTGTTAAAACTGAATTTCAAATTGCAGGTGGTTTTGATCCAAAATAAAGGCTCAGACGTATTTCTGGAAGCCTCATGGATCGCTCCCAGCCATTCCCAAGTCCTAAAGCTGTCTGAAACACGTTTCAACCACATCACGATTTGCGTTTTTACTTGATTTTGATTTCCTTGATTCATACGATATAAACGCATTTTAATCATACATTATTAATCACTCTTATGTTTGTAAGCTTTCTGTATGGTTAGATTTGAGTTTTAAAGCAGAAATCGAAGGCCATCATACGCAGATGCACCATGAGCCATCAAAGACGCTCCCCACTGAATCCTAGCGCCAATTCTGATTTGGGCCAAAACATTTTGATAACGACACCCCCTATTTTTCAAGCCCGACCCATTTCTTTTGTTTATTTCTTTATTTCTTTTATTTTATTAATTTCAAAATGTTTTTTTTCACTTAATAATAATATCACATAGAAATTTAAGATTTAGTTTTTTTAATAATTAATTTTGAGTACAATTAATTAATTAAACTTTAACTTTTTTTTTTCGAAATAAAATGAAATAGAATTAGGATTAATTTTATTTATATCATTTCTTTTTCATTATATAAAACAAAAATACCAAAAATAATAGAAGTAGTCTCATTAGAACTAATTTTTAATCAATAATTTTTTTTTAATTAATTAGGATTTTATTTAGTTTTTTTAGTTGATTTAGTTTAATTATTTTCTTAAAACGAACAAAACAAAAAGATTTTTTTTTTACTTAGACTTTTTTAGGTTGTTAGACGTTTCTTTCCATTTTCACGCGCGTTTATCTTATTTTCGCATCTTTTATAATATTGTACCTGATGATGGGATGTAATAGATTAAAATAGGACTTTACTGCTTTTCTTTATTTTCTTTCTCCCATTTGGACATGTAAACGCCCCCTCTCCGAAAACATTGTAATATTGTAGATTTAAATTCCCGCACTTTAAATTTCTGCTAAATATTAACTGCTAGTAAATTAGACGTGCATGACAAGATAAAGTCAATTAATCCTTAGATCACTAACATAAGATAAATATCTAAAAATTGAACACATTCCTCACACTTGCACCCTTAGGATATATCTCACTTTGGTTGCCTTTAAATAAAATAGTCACGAGGCAGAAACGCTTTAGTAAAAACCCATAAATCAAAAAAGATCATAATCCCTCGATGATCCTACAGTTGCCTTTTGGTAAATGATCTAGTCCCTATAAGAAAATTGCTAAAGCGTCTCTATAAATTGCCTTCGTGATTGTAAAACGTCCTTTCGATTGTCCTTCAACATCCGACGATAGGGCTACCTACTCACTAATAGTAGGATAACACTATCTAAAGGAAAGGAGGAAAAAAACCTCCTTTTTCGAGTAGGTAGATAGTTGTTAAGTACTTGCTCAAAACAATTCATTTTTACAACACACTTTTCAAAAAACTATTTTAAAAAACGCTTTATCACACTCTTGAGGACTGATACAAGAGTTACCATAAAGAAAATAAAAACTTTCAAAACACACAAACACACAAACAGTTTTCAAAAATGAGAAAGTACCTAAGAGCCCGTGGAAAACCACAGATGGAAAGGGTGCTAACACCTTCCCTTTCAACAATCTACCCCCCTTACTCAGAAAATCTCGAAAAATATCTTTTTCTGTTCTTTTCACCCTTTCCTTTGTTGGATAAAAGAAAAGTCGGTGGCGACTCTTGTTTATCGCGATATTTGCAAACAAAAAACGCAAACCAGTATTAAACAGTCGGTTTTGCCACCGTATCACATCGTCCCTTGTGATAGTCAACTCCTAGAGGTCGATGTTTCTCTGTCATGAGGGATATGGACGACTCTAGCCTACTTATGCTGACAAACCCTCTTGCGGTGAGCATACACAGTTAGGGTGGGGCGGCTGAGTCTCATGCTTTCATTGTTTTCAGCCATTATCCTTGAAAAAACATAAGAAAAAAGATTAGTGCATCAGGAAGGTAAGAGTTCAGAGATGTAATAAACTTCAGATATACATCTCCGAAAAAGTTTAATTTTTTAGCTTCCATGGCAAAAATATTTCTGCCACTGTCTTAGCCATCCAAGGATCATCCAAATTCACCTAAATCATATAAACAAATTATACACATAATCTATTTCAAATGCCAATGATATCTAATGCATTAAATCTAACATATTTGAGCTAATACATTAATGAAACCTCAAAATAAGCTAAATGAGAAACTTACTCAAAAATGTGTTGATGAAGATGTAAAGTGATATGATGTTGAATGCAGTAATTAGAGGGAGTTAAAAATGACAAGATACAAGCAAATGCTTTCAAACTTGACCTTGAGTGAAAACTAAAAATGGGTATAGGGAGGTAGAGAGAAAGATTTTCTCTCTGAAAAATGAAGAAGGAAAAGAGGAAGAATCTGACGCGAGCTTTAAATATTTTCATCTAGCTCAGAGATGCATCTCCAGGATATTTTTTTGAATTTAAAAAAGGTTAATTCGGAGATATATCTGCGAATATACCCTAAAATACCTTCGTAGATACATCTCAGAATTAACCTGTGGTTAAAATGAAGAATTAGTGAGTCCAAATATTTCTCTTCAAAAGCAAAAAATATTTTAGAAATTTCGCACATAATCTGAGAGAAGGTATAATATTGCAATGAGAAATTGTCAAAATTAATTTGATTTTATGTTGATCTATCCACTTTAGTAAATTTTTTTATAAAAACAAAATTATTTGAAAGGAAAAAAAATACAAATTTAAATTTTATAGAGGCTAATGTATTTAAACCCTCGTGAAAGAATATAATATAATATAACATATTTCATCCAAAATAAAAAATACCACCCTCCATAAAATTTTCGAACACAACCTTAAAAAAAAATCAAAAGAAAAAAAAAAGTGTATTGTACCGTTACCGTTACGAGTGTCACCATATCCCTCACAACACGTGACCCGCGCATGATTTCACTCTTGATTTGAATTCGAATTCTCAGCCATTTCCTCAAATTTCATTTAATCCAAAACCCACAACGTCCACATTCAAATTTCACATTTTCAAAAAACACAAACCCTTTCTCTTTCTTTCTCATCAACTCTTCTTCTTCTTCTTCTTCTCTTTCCCCTTTCAACCAAACCCTAATTCTCTTCAACCAGTAACACCATTCACAGATCCAAGAACAAAAGCCGTTTTGACCTCGCTAGAAATGGAACACACTGAAACCAACGCCAAGAATCCAGATTCGGCGCAATGTGTTCGAGTCGCGGTGAATATTCGACCTCTTATCACGGCTGAACTTCTTCACGGATGCACCAATTGCATCACTGTTCCTCCCGGTGAACCTCAGGTGCATTTCTTGTTTATTAGCTGTGATAATTACTCCTTCATTTATCGCTGTTTTTTAAAATTCAAGTGTTTATATTGTAGGTGCAAATTGGGACTCATGCGTTTACCTATGATTTTGTGTATGGGAGTACGGGATCTCCATCAGCAGCCATTTATGATGAATGTGTGGCTCCGCTTGTTGATGCGCTGTTTCATGGATACAATGCGACTGTTCTTGCTTATGGCCAGGTTGAGTTTTTAATTATCATATCGTAATATAGTCTTTACTGGTTTTGCGTTTTTTTTTTTGTCAATGATGATTGTGAAAATTTTGTTTTCTTATGTTTGGTTTTCCCCCTCTCAGACTGGATCTGGTAAGACATACACGATGGGAACGAATTATAGTGGAGAGGATAATGCTGGCGGAATTATACCCCAGGTGATGAGAACAATATTCAACCGGGTTCAGGATATCAAAGACGACTCATCCGAGCTTTTGATCCGCGTCTCTTTTATTGAGGTAAAAATAATACCGTCTCTTTTACTGGATTTTTTTTCTCATTGACGATCAGTCATTTTAGAATATGTTTTGTTAAAAAATTACAGATTTTCAAGGAAGAGGTATATGATCTGCTAGATCCTAATTCTTCAAAAGGAGAATTGGCTGGAAATGCCAAGTTTGCCGGGCCAGCTAGAGTTCCAATTCAAATTAGGGAGACTTATAGTGGGGGAATAACCCTGGCTGGTGTCACAGAGCCAGAAGTAAAGACTAAAGAAGAAATGTCTTCTCATCTCTCGCGTGGTTCCATGTCCCGTGCAACGGGGAGTACAAACATGAACAGCCAATCAAGGTACCGTAAACAAAACTTGGATTGTGCATCTTAAATACCACCTATTAGTTATTTAGTTTGATTTTTATACTGGCTCTAATATACTGTATATTAATGATGTCTACACATGTAGTAGTTTTTTATGCAGTAGTTTTTTTTATGTTTACACATGTAGTAGTTTTTATCCTTCCAGCTTAGCAGGGAAATCAATTTATAATAAGATGATGACAATGTGGTTCTTGTGTTTTATCTAGTCGTTCACATGCAATATTCACCATCACAATGGAACAGAAGAATGGCGATGATGTCTTATGTGCAAAGTTACATCTAGTTGATCTTGCTGGTTCTGAACGAGCAAAAAGAACTGGTGCGGATGGAATGAGATTAAAAGAAGGTATTCGGATTGTTTATGATATCAATATAGTTATATAGTTTGTATATAACTATTAGAGTAATTTGTAATACTCATTTCAATAGAATTCTGAAAATCGAGTTTCTGCACAACCTTTCTATCATTATATAAATGTTTTATGTTGTGTTTTCCGAAGTTATTTGACAGTAACTTGATTTTTCATGTTAAGGAATTCATATCAACAAGGGATTGTTGACTCTTGGAAATGTAATAAGTGCGCTGGGGGATGAAAGAAAACGAAAAGAAGGAGGTCACGTACCGTATAGAGATAGCAAGTTAACACGGCTATTGCAGGTTCACTTTTTATTTGTTAAAGAAATAATTTTATTCTACTTGGTGAAATAATTTAATAGAGTATCTTAACTAATATTCTGATACTAATTACTTGTGGTATTTACGGGGGAGGGGAGTGTAAGGTTCAGTATGATATTTGTTTAAGCAATGCAATACACTTACTTTCAACAACAATGTATTTTCTATCATATTATGAATATATATATATTAATAATTCTATTCTACTTGGTAAAATAACTAATGTAAAATATCTGGGCAAAACACACCATTCATGATCTTACAATCATGTTTTTCCGGGGAGGGTGTGAGCATTTGTTGTTTGACATTTGAAACTTTTGATTATCATATAAGAATATATGTTGCAACACCTAACTTGAAACTTGAAAGCAAATGTTGATGAAAAATGTGATGATAAAGTTTCGATTGTGTTTTCTTTTGAAATATCTATGACATGGATTCATATCATGTTATCTTGACATGCTACTGGTTAATGAATACTTAGGATTCTCTTGGAGGGAACAGCAAAACGGTGATGATAGGTACATTCTTCATTTCCAATGAATTGCAATGGAATCTTGAAATATTTATACCTTTTTAATATCACGTGTCTCATTTAATCTGTTTGAAATGTTGCAGCTTGTGTTAGTCCTGCAGATACCAATGTTGAAGAGACATTGAATACATTAAAGTATGCAAATCGTGCGCGAAACATACAGAACAAGGCAATTGTAAGTGCTTTATGTTACTGTTCTTTATAGCTTTGATGTTTTATTATATTTGCTTGTGGATGGGGTGGGATTTTTGTTTCTTATTTTATATTAATTTGAATTTTATTGTTTTAGATTAATCGTGATCCAATGGGCGCCCAGCAGCAAAGACTGCAAAGCCGTATTGACCAATTAGAGGCTGAACTTCTGTGTTTTAAAGGTCTTGGTGGTGGATCGTTGGAGGAAATTCAGGTACGTAGTTCTCTTGGGAACTCTGAAGTTTATCCCTCATTTACTGGTCATATGTTTCTGATGTCCTTTCCTCCTCCTCCTGCCCAGATCCTAAAACACAAGGTATCCTTACTCGAAGCAAGCAATGCAGAGCTACAGCGCGAGCTTCATGCACGTGGACAAATCTGTGAGAGTTTAAAACAACATGCCTGTGATGCTCAGGTGTATAGTCAATCCTTAGGGTTTTCTGTTTTTAGTTAAATGTTGGGAGTCTTACCAATGAAACAAAGTTGCTAGTTTCTTGCAATTTCATTGAGCGGTATTTTGACTTCACAATTTTTGGCCTAACTCAAAGTATTGAATGTTTTAGGTGGAGAAAGATCAATTGATGATGAAAATAGAAGCAGTTCGAAATGGTAAATCTTGGGATGAGATTGACTCCGGTTCAAGCCAGGTTCGAATACATAAAGTCACTGCCTTTAAAAAAAATGCAAGATGTTAATAAATTCTTCCTGGAAATGTTAGTGAAAGAATTCCATAACCACTTACTGTATCTCTCTAACTCTTGTGTTCCTTCCTTCAAACCACCTCCCCTCCCCTCACGTTAAGTCTTTCTAGTGCATGGTCAGTATTTACTAGGAATATAGCTCATCATTAACTCGTGATCTAAACTTGCTTCTAGGATTGTGACCTCATGAAATCTTATGTTTCAAAGATCCATGATTTGGAAGAAGAATTATTGCGCATGAAAAATCTGAATGTGAAATCAAGCAATTTTCCTGATTGGGTTGATTCAGATGATCCCGAGTTCCAGTCAAAGAATGGTTTATTTGTAGGTGGCAATGAGTATTCTTCTGATTGTGATGTCAAACCCGTGGGCATAACAGGTAACATTTTGCTACCTGTTTTATAGTATATTTTCAAATCTATTTTTAAGCGATTCCTTGAGGCTGACTTTGATAATATTATTCTTGCCAAGTCCTTCAAATTTTTAAGATGGCAATTTGATTTCTCAAGTCTAGTCACAACATTTTATTTATGCTTTTCCTCTATAGCTGGATTTTTTTATATATTTTCTAGAATTTTCAACTAGGTAATCTTTAAACATTGCAATTTGTATGCAGATGACGTGGAACCGGTGGATGTTCGTGAAAAGGAGTTAGAACATTCTTCTGCTCAAGAAAAGTTGGATAGGGAACTCAAAGAATTGGACAAGAAACTTGAACAAAAGGAGGTATGGTATAAGTCATTGTCTCCGGATTTGAGTTTTAAATACACAAAAACACCGGATCATTTTGGTTTTCTAGTACCTTCGTTTAAATCATGCAAATTCGTAGTTTATACATGCTTGTTATTTTATACTTAGTATTGATTGTAGAACATATTTGAACTGTCTTTTTTTGTTGTTGTTGTTGAAGGCTGAAATGAAGCTGGTTAACAATGCTTCAGTTCTTAGGCAACATTATGAAAAGAAACTTCTTGAGTTGGAACATGAGAAAAAATATTTACAGGTAATTCAATTTATGCTAAAAGTTTTTTGTTGAATTATGATTATTGAAAAATTTATTGATAATTATAATTAAAGGCTTACTACTGTAATAACTGAAATCTGTTTTTTTTTTAATTGTTATTGGTAGAGAGAAATTGAAGAGCTCAAATCTACCTCTGGTGATAGCACTCACAAACTAAAAGAAGAATATCTTCAAAAATTAAATGCACTTGAATCACAGGTAAATTTATTATTATTTAAAAATGTTTTTAGTCAAGATGCTACAGCTATGTTAGTGAAATAATTACTTACTTTCCAGGTCTCTGAGCTGAAGAAGAAACAGGATGCTCAGGCTCATCTTTTGAGACAAAAACAGAAAGGCGATGAAGCTGCGAAGAAACTGCAGGATGAGATCCAAAGAATTAAATCTCAAAAGGTGCAATTCTCTTGTTAATGGAGCTTGTATTTATAGGATGAAATGCTTTACACTTTTTGCCATTTTATTTTCTTACATTCTATACTGACTGGTTCATTTCAATAGGTTCAACTGCAACACAAAATTAAGCAGGAATCTGAACAATTTAGGTTATGGAAAGCTTCTCGTGAAAAGGAAGTTCTCCAGGTAAATGTAGTAAGGATGAACTTTCTCAAAACTAATATTAGAGAAATACCCTTATATTATAATTTATTATTCCATTCAATAATAGCACACATCTGTTTGCCATTAAACAATATGGTAATAATCTGTTGTTGATATTAAGTGATGATTCTAACAGTCTTTCTCTGCTGACCTTTTTTTTAAATTACCAGCTTAAAAAAGAGGGGAGAAAGAACGAATATGAAAGACATAAGCTGTTAGCGTTGAATCAGAGAACAAAGATGGTTAGTGTATTTTCAAATCACTCGTTGCTGGTTACTGAGGATGATGGTTATTCCTACTATTAATTTGTTTCAATTTAGGTGTTGCAAAGGAAGACAGAAGAAGCATCCTTGGCTACAAAAAGGCTAAAAGAACTTTTGGAATCTCGGAAGGCCTCCTCACGTGAAACTGGTTAGGAGATTTATCTAGCCATTCATATTTGTATATTTAGCAAGCTTTTTACTAGTAAGTCTCATTTTTATTTTTGTATACAGGTATCAGTGGTCCAGGAATTCAGGTACTGCTAAGTTTATGAATTTTGATTAGTTGCCCTATGGTGCTAAATATTATATGATTGTGATTTCTTGAGGGTTTTGGTTGTCCTTGACATATATTTCTTATTTGAAGGCTTTGATGAAGGCAATAGAACATGAACTTGAAGTTACTGTCCGAGTGCATGAAGTGCGCTCAGAGTATCAACGTCAAATGGAAGTGTACGTAGCTTCTTCATATGAGACCATTATTCACTATCCTGCTACGCTATTATTGATGCAAATTAAAGATGAGAAAACTCTAATTGATTTACTTTTTATCCTGGCTTAGATGTTTTAATAATTGTGGTTGATCAGCAAATGGAAGAATTCTGTGCTAGATGTTGAATTTGAATTTTCACTCATACTCATTTAATTTTACTAATCATTTCAGGAGGGCTGAAATGGCCAAGGAGAGTGCCCGGTTAAAAGAAGAAGCAGAGATGATGAAGCTAAACAATACAAGGTGATAAAAACCATGCACTTGTTGAAACCATTAATTATTATGAACTACAATAATGCCTGTTTGACTGATTGCTAATGTATTTAATAGAATATCCTAAAAATATCGTAGTACGTCGTTATTCTCTCTTCAAATATGTGAAGCATCTTATATCCATACACATCAAACTTTGTTTTATTATTTCTGGATTAGTAGTCTTGAATTAATGTAAATAAATAAGGTTCTGACTATTTCTTTTGTAATAACATTCACATTTTAAAAACAGTTTTATGATAAAAGCGATGCCTACTGTATATGTATTATTCATTTTTTCCCCATCTGTAAAACACTAACCCTTATAAGTTCAATATAACAGTGGTATATCAATGTCACCTGCTGCAAGAAGTTCAAGGATTTTTGCCCTCGATAATATGCTTGCTACTTCTTCTACAACACTAGTTTCCATGGCATCTCAATTATCAGAAGCTGAAGAGCGGGAGAGGGTTTTTAGTGGCAAGGGACGTTGGAACCAAGTCCGGTCCCTTGCTGATGCCAAGAATTTGATGAACTATTTATTCAATCTAGCATCTTCCTCTAGGTAGAGCTATTCTTCAAGTCTATTTTTCACCGATGTTTAACCAACATGGTTTAAAAAGTTGTTAAAGTGTTTATATTCTGTTAAAATGCCACACCTGTCAAATCTCAAGTACTTCATAAGCTGTCTTTAGTGAGTTATAACTGGCTTTATCTAGTAGCTCCTAAGTTAATTGGTTTTTTTGTGTGCTTTTCTTTATTTCAGGTGTTCATTGCGAGAAAAAGAATTTATCTGTAGAGATAAGGACATGGAAATAAGTTATCTGAAGGAGAAAATAGTTAGTCTAAGAGGTTCAATTGAACAGTTGAAAATGCAGAGGGATGCACTTGATCATCAATTGAATTTGATAGTATGTTTGACCTTGAGATGTCATCCCTTTTTAACAAACTCCATGTTTTCTTGATTAAACATTCAAAATTTTCTCCTTTCCAAATTTAAGTAGCAAACTATATGTTGTTATATCTTATTTTCCTTACATTTTTTACAATAATTTTTAATTTCTGCAGAGGTCAGAATCAATGCGAGATTCAGGATATTATGTTGGAGGACATCATTATGACTTACGCAAGCTGGTAGGTTTTGCAAACAAATAATCCATTTCATTAGTTACATTTATATTTTGTGGCTTCTATTGTTAATGATTCATTGGTTATCAAATAGGAAAACCGGCGATCTACCATTTTATTTGAGGATATGGAAATATCAGACTCAGAATCAGAAGAGTATGATGTTGTAGAAGCAACAGATGATGAATGGGTAGAGTCTGCGAAACTGAACGGCAGGAAAAGGAAATCTAAAACCGGTGAACTTTCAAGCCTCGAAAAAAATCATTCTATTACAAGTTCAGATGATGCCAAAGATTCAACAGAAGCACCAGATGCTCCACCAGTAAAAACTGCATCAGATGTTTGCTGCTCGTGTAGCAAATTCTCTTCTTGCAAAACATCAAAATGCATGTGCAGGGCTACGGGAGTTGGTTGTGGAAGTTCTTGCAGTTGCCGGGAATCCAAGTGTGCAAACAGGGGGGGATCTAGCTCCAATGAGTTGCAGCAAGTGACTGAGAACGATTCTGGTAGCGACGAAGCAAATAAAAACCGCCTTCTTGCTACTCAAGGTGCCGAGTTGCTTCAGGGTGCATTGATTGAGGGGCCTGCTGAAACCAAGACTGATAATGCGCCAAGAAAAGCTCTCTCTGACATTGGAAATGCACTGGTATGTGACACTTCTTCCTTTTCAATGTCAAGTATCTATACACCGATAAAATTCATGATTTAATCATTAATTTTTTAAGTCATTCTCAATGCATGCTTGTGAACTGCATTCAAAGACTGATAATGTGCATTGAGAGGTTATCCGGTGTTGCCGGGAAGCGGTATCCAACACTAACACACGTGTGTCGCATGTTTGTATGTTAGTGCTTCATTTCTGGTAGCTGTTAACAGTCATTACCTTCTTTTCCAGCCAAAATCAAATGTAACAAAGGAGGGGGGTAACCAGAGAAAGAAATGGCGGCGGAACTCCTCGGTAGTTCTTGTTACAGAACCACCACCATCTTCCTCGCAGTCAGGTGATTCAGATATCCCCAAGAAAGAGAAGACCAACATCAGTGAAGCAAATGTATATGCGGATATACCACAGAAAATGCATCCTCCTAAATTTGAAAATGCTTCAATGCCCCCAAAGCCGGAGGTTAATGACACGAAAATACCTTTGAGAATACCACGGGCCATGCAAAAGCAAGGGTCATTAAGTACAATCCTTCCGTTGGGGGATAGGAATGCTAGTAAGCAAGATGAATCAATAAAAAAGGAGCCAGAAGTTGAAGCTACACATCCAATTCGTCAAAAAAGAACACTTGCAAAAGAGAACAATGAACTCTGATAGTGCAATCCTCTAATTCTGAATTCTTAAATGAACAAAAGAGCACTTGACAATGGGAATGAGAACAATGGGCTCTGATAGTGCAATCAATCCCTCCATTTCTGAATTCTTAATGAAACATAGGAATTTATGACGCGTGACAATGCCATACTCTTATGGCAATTCTTTTGAAGAGACTTGTGTTGTATGTATTGTTGACAGAAATATGTATATGTAGTTGGCAAAATGGTAAGCTTCTATTTCTAGATTATCATGAGATGTGTGATGGTGGTGACCTATGGATTATCACGGCCTAACCATAGACATCAACGGTAGTTGAATTAATACAATTATGTATCCATTAGATAATTGATCCTTTCAGATTTTAAGTCACCACATGTTTTCACTAAATGTTGCTTCAATTTAAATTGATTCTTTCCAATTTGTGAGCAACAAACATTTGGAGTTCTTGGTCACAAATGTTAAATGTTACATCAAGTTGAAGTTGATTCTCTCCGATTAGTGACAAAACAAACACTTGTGGTTTTTTGGTTACCTAGCAGTCATATCACTCATATGACTATTTTTTTTTTGAAGAAACACTCATATGTCTATTTTATAGCACACAATTTATCATTGCACCCTTATTAATTAGGGCACACCTTTAAAAATCCAAATATACATTTAGGTTTATTTGGAGATATATCTCCGAATGCACTAAATATCATTTTCTGTAAAAAAATATAGTTCAGAGACGCATCTTTGAATAAATCAAAGGTAAATTTGCAGATACATCTCAAAAGTCACCTTATCCACCACATTTCTTAAGAATAGTTCAGAGATGTATCTGCGAACTTGGTGGTCTGCATGTTTCTTTTGCATAACAATGTAACTAGATTGTAGTTTTTTTAATCCAACATAATTTTAAATCGACTCACATTGTCGTTATTTGTTTCAAGGATTAGTAAAAACGAATATTATAGAACCGAGTAATGAGTTAAAATATTAGAAAGATTATAATAGTACAAAAGTTGTTCTCCAAGTCGATGAAAAATGTACAAAATACAATAAAAATCATAGTCTACTGAGTATGCCTAATCTTAACACCCTGATTCCTCCACTGCCTAACCCAAGACATTATGTGCCTCAGTAAGAATGGACCGTGTTAGTTCAATCGCTTCATCGACACCTCTCTCAAACAACCTAAACTCGATGCCTCTCATGTCATCCGCATAATATTCTAACAAATCAGCAGCACATCAATGGCATGATCATTCATGATCTGCTCATTCTCCAAGACCTCCTCATGAACAGGTCTAGGTGGACGTCAAGGGGCGTCAGGTGTCATGTAACGGTGTGACACCTTGCCGAATCATGTCATTTAATCCTCAATATAAGATCATTGTTATGTACCTTCATGACTCTAATACTCCACCGATACCAGACAACTCTCAAAATCCTCTAGAATGTCATCCAACTGTCTACGGACAATGCTCATAAGAGCATCCTACAAAAGGGATCTCAAAATGACTTGCACGTACTCAAACAACGACACACACCGCTCAAATAGATACCTTCACATGAAATTAGTCCTGCATGCCAACCATCAAGAGTATAAGGAAATATGGTCGAATGAAAATTTTCCCAGTGAGTAGTGTATGACACCCAGACGATGTCATCATGCCAAGTCTGGTCAATATACGCAAGGAACGACACCACAACACAATTCACTCTGTTAGGGAGAAACTGAGAAGCAAATGGATAATTCTCAGTGTACGACGAATCACTAAAACTTGTGAATGCGATGATAGTTGGCAAGGATCCATCCCTGGAAAAAAAAAAGAAAAAAAATAGTAACAAGTGTGAAAAAAAGTTATTTTTAACTTAATAGCGAGATTTGAAAATTACCGTAAATAGGGTGCATGAGCCTGTCATTTGCTTTATCGTCCAACGAGAACCTTCGTTCAACTTGGAGTACAGGTATGCAAAGCATGCGCCCCCCAGTTTCACTCATGAATGGCCTCCAAGTCGATGAAATACTTGAGGTAAGTCACATCCATGTGGGTTGCACTTATGTCCACAGACATGGATGTGCCAACCAAGAATAAGAAGAAACACCTCAGGGTACACTCCCTGTGGTAGCCAGTCCAAAGATCATTGGCGTCCGAGTCTTCAGTTATCTCCATGTTATCGTTATACAACTTTTCCAACCAAGAAAACTTGGCATGTGCACCCCTGGTGTTCTTACACTACTGAAAGACTTCCTCAGGGTCAACACCCAAATAAACCGCCACCATCTCCACTGCATAAGCCCTGACAATTTTAAAATGATCAAGCAACATTCCTCTGATGGGAAGGTGTAAGAGATAAGCTACATTATTTAATATAATAGTCATCTCGCTAATGAGGAGGTGGAAAGATGATGTTTCACTATGCTATCTCTCAGCAAATGCAGCCTGCATGCCATGGTTGATTTGTACCCGAAAGCACAAAGACCTGCAAGACCGGAGTTTTAAAGTGCACTTTGGAACCACTCATCCTGAGGCTGAAAAAGATTATGAATATTTCTTGCATGGTTCACAAATTTCAAACACTCACGTTCTTGTTGAAAATAAAATATAACAGTTTCAGTCGAATTTAATTTGGTTAAAATATAAAAAATAGAATCGTTAAAAAACAATCATCTCCGTCCCAGATATACAGAGCCACATGATCTTCAAAGTGTATCAGTAATAAAGTGTCTGTAGATCCTCTTGGAAAAGGGTCTGAAAGTGGGGCATCCTCAACAACTAGGGCCTGATGTGCAGCTGAGGCATCATCTTCATGGTGTGCACGACCTGGGATAATGACCCCTATGATATTCGACTCCTAGAGGTCTATGCTTCCCTATCATGAGGGATAGGGATAACTCTAGCCTGCTCATGCTAACGAGCCCTCTCGCGGTGAGCATATGCAATTAGGGTGGGTTGGCCGAGTCTTATCTTTTCATTGTTTTCAACCATTATCCTTGAAAAAATATAAGAAAAGAGATTAGTGCATCAGAAAGTAAGAGTTCAGAGATGTATCTCTAAACACCAAAAATAACACACTTCAGAGATACATCTCCCAAAAAAGCTTTATTTTTCAGCTTCCATGACAGAAACATTTTTGCCACTACCCTAGCCATCCAAGGATCATCCAAATTCGCCCAAATCATAGAAACATATCCTACACATAATCTATTTCAAATGCTAATGCTATCTAGTGCATTAACAATCTACCCAATTTGAGTTAATACATTAATCAAAACTCAAAATAAGCTAAATAAACACCTTACTCAAAAATACGTTGATGAGGGTGTAACATGATCTGATGTGACATGAGTTTGTGGTTAAAATGAATAATTAATGTGTCCGAAGATATATTTTCGAAAACAGAAGACATTTTAAAATTTTCGCACAAAATCTGAGAGAAAGTATAAGAGTGCAATGAGAAATTGACTTATAGTAAGACAACACACACACACACACACATACACACACACACACACACACACACACACACACACGCACACACGCACACACACACACACGCACACACACACACACACACACGCACACACACACACACACGCGCACACACACATACACACAAATATATATATATATATATATATATATATATATATATATATATATATATATATATATATATGAATTGAGTTAGATCAGTTTTGGCATAAGCTATCAAATCCGTTCAAATTTTATTGATTTATGTTTTTGTTTAAGTTAAAATTTTATGGTCAAAATCAAACTAAAATGTAGATCATTTATAAGTTGACTTGAGTTGCATTTGAGGATTGTATTTCAATTAAATTATATTTTTTTTAAAAACACAATTTGAAACAATCGCGTATATTTTTAATATTTAAATGTGATTGTACCTGACCAGAAGAGATTGTCAAGGCCTTCGAGCTTGGTGTCCAGCAACGGTTTGATGTGAAGTGGGGGGGGGGGGGTACCTGCAAGGAACTCTGATGCTAAAGTAAGATTCAGAGAGAGTGCTAGCAAGTATGAGAGTATGTGAGTTAAAGAATCAATATATGACCCTCTCAAATGAGAGGGTATTTATAGCCCCCAGAGTTGGGCCATGATGAGGCCTAACAAGGAAGACTGCCAGGGTTTACCTGTGTATGGGGTCCAACACGTGGCCCCATTCTTAGTCAATTGCCCCGAGAAAGTAGGTATTTGACCCGTTATTCCGGAGGGCAGTATGATAACGGTTTGGACACGTGGGAAACATCTTCTTAGCAGACACATGGAGATATGCCAAACGGTCATTATGTTGGGCTGTAACTTTGGGCCTTTGATAGAGGCATTGGACTGGGCCTCCCCAATGGTGGATCAAGAGTTAGCCCAGTCCAGAACAGGAGCCCTCTAAGTGATTCCTCGTGGATGAAAGGGTGATGACTTAAGTTCAATTCCACTGTCGTGGAAACCTAGCCCACAAGGGGAATTTCCCAACTCCGTTGGGGATGATCTGTGGGTTGACATCGAGGATGCAGAAGACATGCGTGTGACATGATCAACTAGGCTAGTGGGTGGTCCCTCGACCAATTTTATCTCTGATGTTGTCGGTGTTGTACCTTCCAAGCACATATGTCCATGTGAAGCGAGGGATTCCCCAAAATTTCTTTTGGCACGCTCGTCTATGAGGAGCTGCCCCGACGTCGAGCGTTTGCCTCGCGTTTAGGGGAACATTATAGAGTTGCTCGTAATCACAGTTGTTTAGGGGGGGTAATCTGTTGCCCGTCCCTGAGACCGAAACGTCGCCCATTGGCCCGTATATGATATTCAATGGATGAGTCAGGGACAAATTCGTCTCCAAGAGTAGGCATGTGGCTGCTTGTCACACTACGTGGAATCGGTTTTGGGGTGCCACTCATTCATAGGGAAGTTCAAAAGCCCAAAGTTATGATGGCTTTTCGTATGCTCCCTCATGGGGTGTGAACCCTCTATAAATAGTGGAATCATTGAGCTCAT